AATTTCCTGATCATCTACCGCACAAAATACTGATATCCGGTAACATGGAATCCGTTTCCTTGAGTACGAATTTCAGCTGCACACATGCGTTGTTAAACACGCATAGGCGCTTGATATTACCACAACTTATGCGAAAACTACGAGCAGAACAGTTTTAAGGAGCTCTGCGAGTTAGCTCTAGCAATAACAGCTAATAGGCAGTACAATTCGCATTTATCATCGGTAAGCTCTACACATTGCATCGGCAAAATCTGCAAAAGCATTTCCATTTCGGCTCTGTTTTAGTCAGCTAAATTTACTTAATTGAACCATAGATACACCTTAAATTGCTATTGCCTGATAAAACGATGAAACAGCAGAAAACAGAGAGTGAAAATATCTTTCCATATCAAGTAGACCATAGTACTTCAGAATACCTCTTCTTAAAATTCTTCATGAGATCGATCAAACATCTAACCCAATGGCTGACGTTGGGTAAGCGTCAATCTGGCGCCTGCCAAGAACGTGAACAGATCTTGTGATTGGCTACTTGAGAAGGCAGTACCGGTGGAAACAGTAGTACAGCAGATGCGTTTGGTTGAGTAGAACAGAATTGCTCAAAGTAAATATCTTTATTAAGCTTCTTGTTAGGATGCACCCAAACTCGTCAGAGCTGCAGTGAAAGAACATCTCAAGGAATTCGAAAATCTCTGAATGCGAGACATTAGTTGCGTCAGAAGTCGCTTTGGTTTGCATTCTATTACGAAACACTGTCAGTGCCTTCGCGAAAACTTAATTGTTCTAAGCAAGTTTCACGGTATAGTGTAGATCAACGTTATTAAACCTCCACCATGAGAAGGTATCCGGAACGATCAATGGGAAAACAGACGAGGTCTCCCAAGCCGAGGATATTCTCCTTTCCAGGTGGGTTCTATCCTTGTTTGTTAGATGACAGTGACGCTAGTGATGTAGAACAATGCGATAAGTTTCTTAAGCTCATCGCATTTCAGCCGGATTGCGCAGTAACTGTTGGAAATTGTCGCTCGAAAATGAAAAACTTTTGTTGGTTGTTCCTTTTGCAACAACTGGCATTCCGCTTGTTCTTGACACGTATGCTTTATTGAATACTTCACAGCCTGTCATTGAAAGAATAAGAAATGAATAACAACGAAACGGCAAAAAATCGCTGACAGATGAAAACGTCA